TACGATTGATTATTAAGTGACTCATCTAGAGGCTTCGTAAAAGTTAATTTATTCTCATCCAATGAATTGTTTTCTTGCTAGAACAAATCAAAAAATATCAAATTAAAACGAAAAGCAATGAGAAAACACCCAGGTCTCATTGGCTCCAAAAAAAGAAAGCTTTTACCATTAAAAAATAATAATAATTATGATAAAAATAAGATATTTCGCATCAAATTTGCGCATAATTCGAGAAGTCGGTCGCAGAAACTTGGCGATCCGCGCGACGAAGAAGTTGATTTCGATCATTGTTCTGTTACTTTTATGCCTCATGAAACTTGCTTATGCTCTCATCACAAGGTTAGCCTCACCATTACTCATTCATGAGCGGGAATAGAGCAGGGACATTAGTCCTTCATAATCAAAGTTACCGTTTAAAACCTGCATTTTAAATGTTTAAAGGAGGTTTTGTTTTGTATCTCCACAATAGGAAACTGTTTAAAGATAGCTGAACACTTCCTTAAACCTCTTAACCAAGTAAATTATTAGTGATGGAAAGATACTTCGGCAGATAGTTTGTATGAGTACCTTTATGTGAATTTAATTGCGAATGGTTTTCATCTTTCCTTTTTGTTTTGTTGTTGTTGTTTTTTCCCTCAATTATTTATTTTATATCGAGCTCGTCATCCAAGTTCATATAGATATTTTTAACCTATCTATCACCTTTTTATTCATTTATTCATTTTTTGTATTTTCTATTGGAAAATGTGAAAAGTTTACACTCGTAAATTATATTGTCTTCTAAGTTCTCTTTTGTTTTGCCGTTCAGTCTTCTTACTTGTGTCGGCTGGAGTGGTTTTTGTGTTTATTGCGCTGGTAAAGTTAGATTTTTGCCTCAGTTGTGGTTAACTTTTTCTCCAGCAAATAACTCCCGACGTCAGGGTATATCGACAAATTTGCGATTCCTGCTAGATATGTAGCTTTTGACAAGTAATTTATCCGAAGAAAAAGAAGTTTTGCAATAAAGATCTTCTACAGTGACATGCTCTTTGGAAAAGTTCTTTCTTCATTGATCTGGTTGTACATGGATTTCTTCAACGATTCAGTCCACTTTGCTAATTAAAGCTTACGAACTTCGTCTGCGCTGAGAACATTTTTGGGGAATTTTGGAAGGGAAATTTTTCTTACTTAAATATTTACATTCTTCTGTGGAAATTATTGTCACGCGCAAGTTTCCTGCAGATGGCAGTACGGATAATTGTTCGTAATTTATCTAGAAAGGTATTAACCTAGAAATTAAGATGGAAGACAAAAAGGGCAGCATATGGATGGATGAATTGAAAAATTTAGGATACCTAGGTATCTTCAGACGGAGAAACTATCAATAAATGCTCAACCTCATTACTAAACCTAAACATTATAATGATTAATATGACTATTGTTATCATCGTCCCCACGTCTCATATGGCCATCTCTTTTACCAGTGTTTTCCTTTTTTGTACTATCTATAATTATCGAAGACTTCTCTGAGGCAGAGCAATACCGACAATTGAAGCTTATCTAAAACGCCTATTTCTGTTAATGAAATCTAAGTAAAGTATCGGAAGATATATATTTTCTATTTAGTTTCGTGCCGAGAATATGAAAACCGACTTTTAGACTTTGACCACTGTCACGCCGTACGATTTATTATTAAGTGACTCATCGAGAGGATTTGGGAAAGTTAATTTATTTTGATCCAATGAATTGTTTTCGTTCTGGAACAAGGGCTAAGAATATCAGATTAAAACGAAGAGCAATAAGAAAACACCCAGGTCTTATTGGTTCAAAGAAAAAGAAAGCTTTTGCCATAAAAATAACAAGTAAGAAAAATAAGATATTTCGGATCATTTGCACATAATTGGAGAAATCACTCGCAGAAACTTGACGATCGGGGCGATGAAGAAGTCAGTTTTTATCTTTGTTCTGTTACTTTTGTGTTTCGTGATACTCGCTTATGTCTCATCACAAGGTTAGCCTCACAATTACTGATTTTTGAGCGGGAATGGAGCAGGGAAATTAGTCCTTCACAATTGTAGTTAAACAGTGGCATGTTTTATGTGTAAAGGAGGTTTTGTTATTTATCTCCACAATACGAAACTGTTTAAAGATAGCTTAACACTTCCTTAAACTTCTTAACCAAGTAAATTATTAGTGATGGAAAGATACTTAGGCAGATAGTTTGTATGAATAACTTTATTTGAATTTAATAAAGAATGGTTTTCATTTCTCGTTTTTGTTTTGTTTTGTTTTTTTTCTTAATTTTTTCATTTATACCGGGCTCGTCATCCAAGTTCATATGGTGAAATATTTTTTACCTCTATATCACCTTTTTACTCATTTTTTGCATTATATATTCGAACATGTGAAAAGTTTATAATCGTAAATTCAAAAACTCATTAATAATTCATAAGCCCATTAACCTATCAAATGGTAGATAATACATCATGTGCAGTGACTTTATATCGATAAACCTCATCCTTATTAATATGCGGTGTTTTATCAGATATAAAGACACTGCACGTGACTTATGAATATTAATTGATTATCAACACAGAAACTGACACAACAAATGGTGGGAACATATTTAATGTTCTTTCAACAAATTTCACACAGTAAATTTACTTTTGCACCAAATTAATAGTACAGTTGTGAAACCCACATCTGGAAAAATTCTCTATTCCATTAGTACAGTAATCTGGTAAAGGCATATTAGACAATACATCATCTGAAACTTCCTAATGTTTTTCTCGTATGCTAATTTCTAACGTTCACAAAAGCATAATTGTTATGAACTCTCTTGACACACGCTTTTCCAAGAATGTTTTTGAAGCCGTTCAAAAAACTCGCAGCACGTGTTTTATCGGGTCAAAAACCACTCGGCTACACCTCGTGGTTTTAAACCCGATAAAACACTCCTGCTCGTTTTTTAAACATTACTTATATTGTCTTCTCAGTCTTCTTTTGTTATGCCGCTCAGTCCTCTTATTTATGTCGGCTGTAGTGCTTTTGCGTTTATTGCAAATAACTGAAGTTAAAGGCAAGTCAATCATAGAAGTTTCGAAGGAATATTTGGAGACGCGTATCTTTTTGGGGAAAATGAGAGTGAACTTTTGGAATTGACAGTCAATATATTTATTCTGAATACTTTCCATAACGGTGCCCCATAAGTTTTAGACTCGAATCGTTGCTATCTAAATACGATTGATTATTACTTGACCAATAGGAAAGCTAAGTAAAGTAACTTAAATTGTTTATTTTCACCCAATTTAATCGTTACTAGCGCAATGACGAAAAGATATCATACTAAAACAAAGAATGATAAGATAATACCTGGGTTTCATTGGTTAAAAGTAAGTCAGGAGAGTTAAATCATTTATACAAATTTTAATATCAAATTTTTGCATCAATTTGTACATCCTTCGGGAAGTCGGTTTCGGAAAGTGATAAGCGCCATGAAGAATTCGCTTTTTATCTTTTTTTTGTTACTGTTGTGCCCTATGATTTCTGTTTCTGTCTCATCGCAAGGTTAGTATCACCATTACTCATTTACGAGCGGGAATAGAGAAGAGACATTATTCTTTCATAATCATAGTTACCGTTTAACACCTGCATGTTATATTTTTAAAGGAGGTTTTGTTATTTACCTGTACGATAGGAAACTGTTTAAAAATAGCTTAACACTTCCTTGAAGTTTTAAACTAAGTAAATTATTAATAATTATTCTTAGGCAGATAGTCTGTATGAATACCTTTGCGTGAATTTAACTGCGAATGTTTTTCATTTCTCCTTTTTGTTTTGTTGTGGTTTTTTTTTTAATTATTTCTTTTTTTATCGAGCTCTTCATCCAAGTTTATATATTGCAATATTTTCTTCCTCTCTATCTCCTCTTTTTTCAGTTATTCACTTTTTTTATTTTGTATTCGAACATGTGAAAAGTTTACACTCGTAAATTATATTGTCTTCTTAGTCTTCTTTTATTATGCCGCTCAGTCTTCTTATTTGTGTCGGCTGTAGGGGTTTTTGTGATTATTGAGCCAGTAAAGTTAAATTTTTGCCTCAGTTGTGGTTAACTCTTTCTCGAATAAATAACTCCCAACATCAGAGAATATCGACAAATTTGCGATTTCTTCTAGATATGTAGCTTTTGAGAAGTAATTTATTCGGAAGAGGAGACATTTTGCGATAAAGATCTTCTGCAATGACAGGCTCTTTGCAAAGTTTCTTTGTTCCTCGATCTGGTTCATTCATGGATTTCTACAACGATCCAGTCCACTTTACCAATTAAAACCTACGAACTTCGTCTTTACTGAGAATATT